GCATGCGCTTCTTGTCCTGTTCTAACCAAACTTTGCACACAGATTTTCTCATTGTTGACCTCCTTCACCCAAGGGTCTGGACAGTGAGTTGTTGCCGTACTGGTACTTTACCATTTTAGCTACTTTATGGCAGGCAAATGCGCACAAGGCTGTATATTTTGCCATCTGCCCCTGTGCACCCGGCAACTGACACGACTGTTCGTCAAAGGGTAACGTGGCTGCAACACAAAATGAAAAAGTAAACTGATACACAGAAAGGACAGAAAGTTTTCCAATCTTCTCACAGTTGCCAACAGACTGTTGGTGGGTACATACGTTCTTAGTGATGGAAAGACATGGGATGCTTCCGATCTCACTGCATTTCCATGCACACCAACATCTCTGGCTAAGACCACAGCTCACTACACAGACACTCATGCCACTAGACCTAAACGTGATTTTTGGAAGCCTAGTTGGTTAAAGGACTATCTAACTTAAAGGATACTCCACTTTTTTTGGAAATAGGCTCATTTTACAACTCCCCCAGAGTTAAACTGTTGAGTTTTACCGTTTTTGAATCCATTCAGCCGATCTCCGGTTCTGGCAGTACCACTTTTAGCATAGCTTAGCATACATCATTGAAGTGGACAAGACCATTAGCATTTCTCAAAAAAAATGACCAAAGTGTTTCGATATTTTTCCTATTTAAAACTTGACTCTTCTGTAGTTACATCGTGCACTAAGACCGACGGAAAATGTAAAGTTGCGATTTTCTAGGCTGAGATGGCTAGGAACTATACTCTCATTCCTGCGTAATAATCAAGAAACTTTACTGGCGTACCATGAGTGCAGCAGGCGCAGACACTTAGTCCCAGTCACGTTGGAAGTTACCGAGCTGGGGACTATTTTCAGGCGCTGCGTCATATCATTACGCCTGCTGCTCTCATGGTACGGCAGTAAAGTTTCTTGATTATTGTACATACATGATTGTATGCTAAGCTATGCTAAAAGTGGTACCGCCAGAACCGGAGATCGGCTGAATGGATTCAAAAACGGTAAAACTCAACAGTTTAACTCTGGGGGAGTTGTAAAATGAGCCTATTTCCAAAAAAAGTGGAGTATCCCTTTAACTCTGATGTAATATTCTGTTCTTTAAAAAAGGGGGAAATGTTATGTTTATAACTGAATTGTTGTTGACTACTATTTTGAAAAGTGTGTTGTGACATAATGTGTGAGAACTGAAGAATAAATAAGATGGATGAAGTTTGCTACTCCTGTCTCGTGTGCTTCATTGATTTATAATTCCTGTCAGATACCACAGTCTTCTCTTATCAGTCTTTGGCATAAAATGCAAGGCATACGGCACCGTATACGGACATTCTTTTCAGATTTGCTGGTGCTCAAAACATATTTTCTAGGAATTTCTTTAGTTTATTGCTGTTGCTGTGGCAGCCAACAATAGCACAGCTTAACACTGCACTCATTTTTATTTGTAGTAATCTTCAAAACGTTTCTGTTTAATTAATTCAGTCTCTCTTTTTACCCCGTTTTAACAATGAGATGAGAGATGAGATGAGATAAGAACAGGACAGCATACAAACGGAAGTTAGAATCCATCATGGCTGCGCACATAATTTACTCAGGAAAAAGGTGGATACATATGGAGCTGGCTGTGTGATGCAAAGTTTACAAATCTTGCAGTATGGTAAAAGTTTTGAGGTCACAACAGTATTGTGCAAGGAACTGCACAAAAATAAGTCTTTAGTAATTGATAATCTGACCCTGTAATCATAATTTGTATGAAATGATAAACTGACCCTTTAATTGTAATTTGTGTAAAAAATAATAAAAGTTGTTGGTGCCAATAATGTTCAATTCAACAGGAAACATCTCAGGTTACGCATGTATCCATGGTTCCCTGAGAATAGCATGAATCTAAACACGATAATGAACTTGACATTGGCAGGCGACAGGGAGTAGTAGTAGCCAAGGAGGCTCCCAGAAAGCCTAACAACCCGGTATACTACCCTACCATCTAGCCAAGCTCTAGGAACGGAGGACTAAGTAAGGTGATTCTCTAAATCGAGAGGAGACCTAGCTACGTTCCACGCTCAGGACAGCTTACAAGGAGAATCACAGAGAGCCAACAACTTGCAATTGCTATCCCAGCGGAACTCAAGAGAGCAGAGGCCTCTATCTTTACCTGGCGAGAGGAGGCTTGACAACGCTCGCAGTAGCCAAGGAGGCTGACAGAGAGCCTAACAACTCAGCAGACTCGAGGGAGCGGAAGCCTCAAACAAATAACTCTCTACAGTGAGATGAGGCCTGTTGGCGCTCATGATAGCCAAGCAAGCTCACAGAGAACCTAGCTACTTAGCAAAACATAGCCGAGCTCTAGGAGAGGAGGCCTCAGCATAATGACTCTCTAAATTGAGAGGAGACCTAACGACACCCCACACTCTTGGATATCTGGCCAGTAGGCTCACAGAGAGCCTGCAACTCACAATTGCTATCCCAGTGGAGCTCTGGAGAGCAGAGGCCACAAAAAGACAACTCTCTTTGGTGAGAGGAGGCCTAACAATGCTCACAATAGCCAAGGAGGCTCACAGAGACTTAGCAAACATAGACGCCGAGCTCTAGGAGTGGAGGCCGCAGCAAGACAACTCTCTAAATCAAGAGGTAGCCTAATGACGCCCCACACTCAGGACATCTTCTCAGGACTCAGGACTCTCTAAGTGAGAGGAAGCCTGACAACGCTCTGGTTAAATAGTGACCAAGGAGGCTCGCCGAGAGCCTAACAACTTAGAACCAAGGAGGGGGGAAGGAGGCAGATGTTATTTCGCCTCTGGGACCTTGAAACTCTGATTGCATTTATTCTCGATCACTTCCCTCAGATCTTTCCTTCTCCCTCTGGCTTCACGCTTCCTCAGTGCTCTACCCCTCGAAGGAGAGGGAGCGCAATATGAAGGTCTTAAAAGCAGCGGAGCGTACCTTCGCCTCTCTAAAGTTCACCGAACACCGTCTCGACGGATGTGCCGATGTGCTCAGATGGCAAAACCGGTGCATCGAGGAGAAATAAATCTGTGGTGCGGCGCAGCTCCTCTACCGCCTCAGGGGGGAGCCCCTGGCCCTGGCCCTGGTCCAGGTCGGCCTGGTAGGCCTGCAGCACTGCCATAGTGTGTAGCGTCGCACCGGCCTGACTGTCTGCCGCATATGCTCTGCCATTAAGAGGCGAGGTGACACGCAACGGTTTAGTAGGAAGAGTCGGAGCCTTAATGCGGATGCCTCGCCCACCGAGAGATAGCTGGGAGAATGAAGAGACATGTTTTTAAATTGACCAGAATTTAAGTTTGTTGGTGTATCGTTCACGCTCTATGGCAGGCAGGGTGGACATATAATTACTTGACATGTTTAATCTTAGTGATGTCTTAAGTTATTCACACCTGTCGGCTGTGTACGGACATTGTTTTGTGATGCTATTTTGTATTGGAAGTCTAGTTTATTTTCCCCTAAAAGTAGGCGTGAATCTGTTCAGAGACATTCTATGACGTTGCGCCGGTTGTGAGTATATTTCATAGGTGCCCTTTTATCTCACGGTCACACTGGTGATGACGTCATAGGCTGTCGTCTGCCAATGTCAAGTTCACTGTCGTGTTTAGCTTCATGCTTCAGACACCAGTAATGCCGGAGGCATTCCACCCATAGCAACCCCTAGGGGATGAAGCGTGAGTTCCCTTTCAAAAGGGAACTGCAGTTAATTGTATGTATAGGTACGTTTTTGGAGTTTTGCAAAAACGTAGGTAGAGGCACGATTTTCCAATTAACCTATTTGTTTACTCTCTTCAGGAAGACAACCTGCATGGCATACTTAGGTTGGCCCTCACTGGTTGTTTCAATTTGCACCCAGTCCAATTTCCACCCAGCACTGCCAATCACCTTTCCCGGATTTATCCTCTTAATTTTGCCATTTCTCATGTGAATAAAGCTAGCATGACAGTGCTTTTCCCCTCTGCCTGTCTTCCCGCTGGCAGCTGCGGCACACAGTGTTTTGACTGCGACTGATGGCAGAGGTTATTGAGGATGAAAATCACTGTGGCGAGCAGGATGAGGCTGAGAGCCGTGAGAGATACGAGACTGGTGCGTCGCGCAGGTGTCGTTCATTATCAATCACGCCACCGGCCTCGCACCGTTCTCTCATGGCCCTTGGCCTCGTCCAGCTCGCCACAACCACCCTGATTGTTTGGCTCGCCAATGCCATCTGAATTTCATCACGTTTTGTCGTGCGAGGGCAGCTGTCATGGACGTGACATTAAAAAGATGGATGAAAGGACCCTTTTTGCAGTTCTTCCAGTTCTGACTCAGTTTACCTCCACTGCATTGCTTCTGCTTACTTGCCATCATTCCATGCAACATGACGGGAGCCAATCAGAGGGCACCGTCTTGTCAGCTTGTCAGGCAGCTGGAGAAACTCAGATGGCTGTTTCATGACCCTGTGCAGTGACCCCGCACAACTTGTTCTCCCTGCTGTCATGTTTGTTTACCCAAGTGATGGTGCGCTCCAAGCTTCCCCCTTAACTATGTGACGTTCCTGTCTCTTGTCCTTCATGTCCTTTTATTTCTGTGGAGGACAATTTGGCCTTAGCATCAAGCTCTAAAAGAATATTTCCCCTAAAAATGAAAATGGTCATGTTTTAGTCGCACTTTTAGTCACCCAATGTTGTTCCAAACACAAAAGGAGTAATTTTGAAAAATGTTTTGATGAAAGCATAGGGCAGTTGAGCTTGAAAAAGTAAAAAAAAAAAAAAAAATTAATTAAAGCCTATAACTATACCTTGGCCTCATATTAAAGAGGAGCTTGACAATTTCTTGTTTTGTATTCTATGGAAGAAATAAATTTGGATATAACGTTTGGAATAACATGAGGGTGGGGAAATGATGACAGTTTTCATCTTTTGGTGATACGATTGTTCAAAGGTTACTATTTTGTGAACTCAAATGCAATTTCTTATGTGTTCCTGTAGAAAATGGCACCTTTAATTCAAGCAGTGAGGCAGAGAGAAAGACGCAGTCCTACTATCTTTCCTGTCTCAATGAACAACGAATAGAAGAGCTCGGAGCCCAACCACTCATCGACTTGATTGCAAAGGTAAGTGTTTCTGTGGCGCCCGCTCTGGTGTGGAGGGTAAACAGTGCAAACAGGAATTGGGAACCCGTTCCATTTCAAGAAGGTTTCTTTAAAGTAAAGCTAATGCAAATGTTTATATAATTGTTTACTATACAAAATCATGGTAACATGATCATTTAAACTGTAAAACCAAACTGATAAAAAAGAGGATAACTTTATTTTTCCTTGCAGAGATGCAGAAATCAGGATGATGATGATTTTATGGTTACACTATTCTAATAAGGCATATATAATGCAATTGTGCATATTTACTACAGTAAAACACAGGGGTGAGGAGGCCCAAAGGTATCCTTGTGAAGAAAAAGAAAATTATTTAAAAATCAATGAAAATCCAATTAAAGTCATTGGATTTTTTTTGTGTTGAGAAAAAAATGCTTATAACAACACAGTAAAAGTTGGTGTCAGCTATTTATTTGTTGTCATTTTTGTGTATTAATTAGGGACACAAAAATACCAATTTTGTAGAATGACCTTTGATTTAATTTGATGCCTGATTAATTTTTTTGATTGGTTTTCTGTGCATATCCTTTATTTGAACTGAGCAAGATAACTTGTCTCAAATGGCTACGATACTATCAATTCCTCTTGATTTAAAATCAGCGAGCCTTGAAATTATGTAGACATCCTTCAGTGAACGATGTTTTCATGCAATTCTATCTCTCTGAATCAGCCATTTTGAAGAAGAAAGCTCTGAAACTAACCCTCAGCACAGACCTGAAAGATTAATCCGTGTAACATACACAAAGCAGTGATGTCAAACAGCACTCCATCTACTTAATATACACCCTTCCCCACACAACTGCCTTCTGGAAGGTTTAAAAGAGATACGGCTGGGAAGATGGAAGACGGAAAATTTACACTGGTTCTGATGAGCTGCCTTTTGAACACACTTTTACAAATGCTACCCTTCTCTTATGTCTTTCTCTCAATCTGTCACTCTTTTTGTCATCCTGTGTCTTTGGGATCACAGTGATAGAGCGTATAGTGTTGAAGAGAGCTGAGAATAGTTTTATTCTCAAAGGTGAGAGATTTAATTGGCTTTGATATTAGGTGTCAGCCCGAATCATGCACTTCAAGTTTTTGTCTTTTTTACCTTTGATCTTAACATTTTAAAATCAACATGAAATGGCATTTGTAGCTTATTTTATTTCTGCAATGTGTCATATTTCAACAAGAAAATGAATGTGAGTTGGAACTTGGGCTTTCCATATCAGAATGAAAAAAGAGATCTGAATGTGAATTTTCAGTCAATTGTGGAGAGAATTCAGCAGTCCTAGTTGTTACTTATGAAATCAGTTGTTTATTGCATTATTTTCTCAGCTAATAAAATATGGATCATAACGTTGCGCACTTTGTGCCAGCCGCCGTCACCGTCTCAAAGGGCGATAACCGAGCCTGCCGCGATGCCAGAGCCAATGCCTGAGCCATATATCACCCTGGAGCCCGAGCCGAACATGTCTGACCAGGTGCGTGAGCTTGCAACATTGTCCGTCACCATGGGAATATTGGTGGAATATGAGGGGATGGTGTAGAGCCCTATCCCGTCAGCAAAGGTGGATGTGGATGCAGTGAACTCTGAGCCCCTGATTGATTTGGAGGAGAGCACAATTGTTAGCACCCTGCTTGTTTTGCCATCTTGCATCAAGCCTTTTTTGTCACCCAGAACTGAGTTATTGATGTCTTTGATGTTCTACACTGCCCAGTCCTTCAGCCCTGTCTTCACTGCCTGTCATCAGTCCTTTGTCTCCACCTATGCTGTCTGCTCAGTGCATCATGGTCTTGACCTGGACTGATAGTTTATCAGTTTAACCCTGGACTGTCGACCCGTTTGCTCTGCCTAGAATCTCCAAGCCCGTCACTTCACCTCGGCCCGTCGACCTGTCGGCTCCACCATGGCTCCTCACCCCCTTGGCTTCACCAGGGACCATCGTCCCTACAGCTCCACCGGGCTTCCTTATCCCTACGCCTCAGCCTTGGTCAGTCGCTCTACCATTGCCATGGATATAAGGGCCTTCATCTTTGACTTCGGCTTCACCTCAGTCCTGGGGCACACCAGCTCCACCTCAGTATGCCGGCACCCTGGCTTTGCCTTGGCCGTTTGCCCCCAGCTCTGCCTTGGTCTTCAGGACCTTCTGTGTCGCCCAGTCTCTTCGGCTCTGCCTGGGTCTCCACCGCCATCAGCCTCATCTCAGACAGTTGTCCCCCTGCTTCTGCCTGCCAAGCCTCCACCATGGCTCATCTCTCCCTCAACTCCGATGTGGGCTTAAGTTTTAGGATTCCTGCTGGGGGTTCCGCCCTGGCTCCTCTTACTGCTAACTCCACCTTGGCTTCTGCTGCCGTCGTCTCATCTCTGCTCTCTTCATGTTGTCTGCTCCGCCCTGGCTCCAGTGGTCATCCATTATGCCCGGACTGGTAACCCGAAGGTTGCGGGTTCGATTCTCAATACCAGCAGGAAATGACTGAGGTGCCCTTGAGCAAGGCATCTAACCCCCAATCGCTCCCTTGGCGCCACAGCAAAAATGGCTGCCCAGTGCTCCGGGTGTGTGTCCATGGTTTGCAGTGTGTGTTCACTACTCACTACTCCTAATGTGTGTACACTAACTTGGATGGGTTAAATGCAGTGGACAAATTCCAAGTATGGGTTACCATACTTGACCTTCACATGTCACTTTTACTGCTCAGCGTCCCCCACCTAAGCCGCCTCCAGCACTCCTCTGTTGGACTATTTGTAATTTTAATGTTAATAGTTAATGACTCAAGGCCGCACCTTCTTGATTGGGGGATATGTTACGGATGTTCTGTGTCAGTTTCTGTTTTTGGGTGGGTTGGAGACGTGTTCTAGCTCTGTTTCCTGTGTTTGAGTTTGTTGATTTGATCATCAATTACACCTGTTCATATCGTTGATTAGTTTGCCTTTTGTATTTAAGCCCTGTGTTTTGTTCAGGTAATTTGTCTGTTCTCCTCTGATTTACCAAAAATAAAATTTTACATATAGGGAACACGTTTATCCAAAAAAAGATGATGAATATAGTAAAAGATAGTAAATAGGGTCACTTTTGATTTCTACACTTGGACCACCTCAGTCTTTTTGCTAGAAACTGATGTTTTTCATTTTCTTTGTGTTTGTGTGTGTGTAGATAGGAGGCTGGAACATCACAGAGTCCTGGGATAAAGATAATTTTCTGGACGTTTTAAAGATAGTTTCTGGACCTTACAGAGCTCAGCCCTTCTTCACTGTCGGTGTCAGCGTGGACCCTAAAAACTCCAACAGTAATGTCATTCAGGTACATTGACTCAGTTATCAGGTTTTAATGAACATCTGCTGTTTGAAAGTTTTTGTTCCATGTTTTGTTTATTGTATTTGCTATATTTATCACACCTGTGGTGTTTGCTCACCTGTGTAAACTTTCTCCAGGCTGACCAATCAGGACTCTTCCTCCCATCCCGCGATTATTACCTCAATAAAACAAACGAGAAGGTATCATGAAGAAGAACTTAAAGTATCAATATTTAAAGACATTTTGTAATATTTAAAGTAGCTTTTAGTCCATGTCTAATAGCCTGCCACTGATCTGGGTTTAGGTGTTGAAGGCTTATCTGGATTACATGATAGAGTTGGGATTGTTGTTGGGAGGAGACAAGAATTCCACTCGGGGTCAGATGCAGCAAATTTTGGACTTCGAGACAGCACTGGCTAACATCACGGTTCCTCAGGACGAACGGCGAGACGAGGAAAAGATATACCACAAGATAACGATAGCTGAACTCCAGGTACGTGTGCAGGTTCACAAGGGTTTATTTAGACAAAAGTTATGAGGGTTGGTGTAGTAGTGCGGTAAACAGATGAAAGTGTGTTGAGGAAGCTATGAAATTCTGAGCTGAAAATTTAATTAATCATTAAATTGTCATAATGAGTGTGTTTCAAACATTGCTTATTAAAAGTGTTTGTTTGATATACGAGAAGAGAGAGTTCATGAATAATGCACAACGCATGGAGTCTGGTTTGCCACTGTGTCTGTGTAAATTTGTCTATCTATCTATCTATCTATCTATCTATCTATCTATCTATCTATCTATCTATCTATCTATCTATCTATCTATCTATCTATCTATCTATCTATCTATCTATCTATCTATCTATCTATCTATCTATCTATCTATCTATCTATCTATCTATCTATCTATCTATCTATCTCGTATATCTGGCTCAACAGAACACCATACAGTATCTTTTATGTGCATAAATATTCATTCCTTTTTGTGTCTTCTGGCTTTTTCCCCCATCATTTAATTATTACGATTTTTTTCTTTGAGCACCTGCGTTGAAACTTTTGTTTTATGAAGGCTCCTGTGATTTCCGTGGAAACAGTTGCTGAGCAACTGTACAGTGAAGTAGCATGACGGTTGATCGCTTACTGATTGAATTATGTTTGCTGTCAGTATAAAGGTAATAAGTCCAATCTTTTCAAAAAGGTTTTTTGTTACAAATAATTTTTAAATTATTATTATTATTATCATTGTTATTCATATTATTTAATGCTTATGGTTATTATACTTAGATTCTAAAATAATAATTGTAGTATATAGTTGCTTTACAAATTATGTCTATCTGATTATATAAATGTACATGTGGAGTACTTTTTTGTATCTCCGTTTATAGAATATTTTCCTTCTTACGGAATTTGTAAGAAAACCATCTCAAGCAAGAGTGTGCAAAATTACCAGCAGTTCTTCATTCCTCTGCCTTAAAGCTGAAGACCAATACATTATATATTCATGTCACTCTTCTCTTGAATGTGATGAGCAAATGTCTCTGGCAGCCGTGGAGCTCAGATGTGTGGTGACACCCGGGAGGATTATTATGTTTGACTTGGGTATGGGTAACACAAATTTACAGAAGTGCTCTTTACTTGCAAAAAAATAAAATAAAATAAATTAAATATACAGGCCTATATACAGTATATATTTCTTACACTGCAACAAAATGCGCTGGAACTGTCACGTTTGATCACGTTATTGACATCAACTGGTTGCAATAATCGCACAATGATAGAAAATACAATGATAGAAAATACAACCAAACAGTCTTTGATCACAAAATCCAACAAGGAACATGTAGGAAATCGCAGGGAAAAGCACAGAACACAACCACGTAATACAACGACGATACCAAACCAAGAACGGTGAGCATAGAAGGCTTAAATACACAGGGAGTAATCAACAGAACAGAAAACAGGTGTGAAACTCAAATTAGTAACAATGACAGGGAACACAGGTAAACAGGAACAGAAAGATCAAACTAAAACACAATGAAACTAACAGAACTTGACAGTTATATCTGAGTTTGAGTATAGTTTGAGTTGTTTATTGGCATTGTTAGCATTTGTTTCCATGGTTATTCATTGTTTGATTGATGCACCACACCTGTTTCTCGTTTCTTGGTTGAGTTAGTAGGTATTGAGCCTGTTTACAGTTACTATTTGGTCTTTCTATGTTGTATTATTGTTGGTTGTTCTGTTCATGTTTCTGATATCCGAGCATCATGAGAACCAAATGGATTTTTTCCATCATTTACTGGTTAACGGTTGCTTTACTAGGAACTAGATGGTATTAAGATGTATCTGTGACCAGTTCCAATCAGACCCGAAGGTTCTAATCAGTTTGTGAAAATCATACAGAACAGAATGAATCATTTATATGGCGAAATTAAATACTTATGTTAATTTAACTGCATGAAACATGTTTAATTATTCTTTTATTTTAACATTTTGAGTTTGACAGCCCTTGTTTTAACAGAAAAAAATACATACTTTTTTAAGGCATTCTGAATTTAATTGTATTTTACCTGATTAGACAAAGCTTGCAACAGTCACTTCATATTTTGCATGTAACAGAAAAAAAAAACACCTTTTAAGGGCATTTCTGAATTTAATTGTATTTTACCTCATTAGGCAAAGCTTGCAACTGTCACTTCTTATTTTGCATGTCTTTATGCAGAGCAACCTCAAGGGTTCGCTTGGTTTTGAGTTTATTAAAAAAAAAACCCACACAGCTTCTCAAACCATGAGAGAGGGGGAAAATAGTCCATTTTAGTCACCCAATTTGTTTTCATCTGCCAGAAATCCACAGTAGAGATGAAGGCTATGTGGGGAATGAGGGTAGATGGGGGCTTTCAGCTGTGTGTTTACGATGGAGGTCTTTGTTTTATTACACCCAAGGGCAGAGTGGCTAGAATTGCATCTAGGTTTCAGGAATGCAAACATACAGGTTATTGACTCTAGCCTGCTGATTATTTGAGCTTTTTGTGTGAGAGCGAATCCGAACGCACATTCTGTGTCCTTTTCATGGCTGAAAGAGAAATCATTAAGGGAAAACATTGAGACGAGCAAAGCTTTCACATCCAAGGTTATGGAAAAATGGAAATTGGTCATAATTAAATGTAACTCTCCATGTTTTAGTGGCCTTCAAAAGGTTTAATTAAAGTGCGTCACCACTTGATGATGGCTATGTTATGTTGAGATATGAACAGCTGAATAATATTCAGTAACCCCTATTACTGAAGCTTCAACTGTGGAGTAAAATATGTGTGAGTGACAAAATAAAGTCAGATTGTGCGATATAATATCACCTGGTGAGATATAAAGATGCTATTGTCAGATATAAAGTGACAATTACAGAATAAAGTTGTCATTGCAAGATATAGTCACATTGCAAGTCACAGATGTGAGATATAAAGTGACAATTATGAGAAATTCGCAATTGTGTGATACAATCACAATTGTAAGAGTGTTAAAGTGACACTGCAAGATATAAACTCAGTCCGTGAGAAATAAAGTCACAATGTGAATTATACAGCCGCATTTACAAAAAAATCGCAATTGTTAGATATGAAATGAGAATTACGTGAAATACAATTGCTATAGAAAGATAAAGACAGTCACATTGTGAGATTATGATATTTAAAGTGAGTTATAAAGCCGCATTTGTCTCATTGCGAAATATTAAGTCACAATTGTGAGATATAAAGCGTCAGTTATGAGATTTAAAATCACATTGTGAATTATAAAGCCGCATTTACAATAAATAGTCTCATTGCGAAATTTAAAGTCACAATTGTGAGATATAAAGTGACAGTTATGAGAAAGTCACAATTGCAAGATGTAAACTCACATTAGGCTAATATATAAAGTCATATTGTGAGATATAAAGTCATATTGCGACATTTAAATTTAAAGTAACACCAGGTAACTTTTCAACCTTCATAATATATTTCCAAGTCTCTTGTGATGGTACATCGACTTACAATAGGTTGAATGACACGTCTGCCATAGCCTGACGGGGTCTGTAGCGTTTTTAATCGTACTTTTAAACTTCGGGTTTCGGGTAGTAACCGGCGAACAAAGAGAACTACAAAATTCGACTGCTTTACGGCATATACGTCACTTCCACCACCACCCCCACTTCCTTAAAATCGGACGTGCGAGCCAAATGTTATAGTCATGGCCGAAGCAGCACAGAAAAACAAGGAAGCAAAGGTTTTATCGGAGCAAAGCAAAAAGAGAAAAAGAGAAAGTGATCGCGTTAAAGGCAGAACGAGGATCAACATTGGGCCAGCATTTTCTCGCTTGTGTGAGCTGAAGGAGGAGGAGGGGTGCCCGACCGATGCGGACTTGGCAAAAAAAAAATCAAAAATCAAATGAAAGCCTATGTCTAAACGGCGTGCACAAGTTTGGTAGGGGCTACATTCTTGCAAGTAAATATATAAGATGTACAAAATCATATTTTAGGATACCTAACATGTCTGTGATATTTGTTTATTTGTCTTGCCTCAAGCTATAATGCAAATCGATTTGTAAAATTTGCAGATTCATTTATGGCAGCTTGATATTATAATATTGACGATATATGGTTATTATCTACCACTCAAACATTGCATTGAAGTATCATATAGATCCAGTAAAACGGTAACCAATAGACTAGGCTACTATAATGACGCTGGCTTGTAAACGTGATCATCGCGATCATTTGTCGTTAGAAAAAAATAAAACCCATGAAATTATATTCATATGACATGCTGAAATATATGCCACTGTACCTGGGATGAAGACATTTCAGACAAGACGCAAGCAGAACACCTGCATGTGACCTCCTCCTACAGTGTTCAGGGCTATCGTGGTTGTCAACAATTGCACGTGCATGTAGGATGACAGAGTTTACGACAGTAGTAGAGGTCTAGAGGACAATACTGTTTCCCAACTGTAGGGGGAGCCCGAGAGCAAAAGTAACCTGGTGTTACTTTAATTAAATTTTTCTCAAGGGAGACAAGTTCCATAATTGTGCTGCATTTCGTAACTGAAAACGTTTGCTGTCGCGCAACCACACCAATAGGTGTCAGTGGTGGTCACGGGTGGTTGTTGCTTTTTTTCATAATTGTGATTTTACACTCTAACATTGCATTAGACTGAAATGAATGAGGAAATAATTGACTGATGACATTATGACATTTGTTTCGGTCTCAGGTGTTGGCTCCGGCAGTTGAATGGTTGGATTATCTGAACTCGGTCCTTTCCCCGCTAGAGTTAAACGACACAGAGCCTGTGGTGGTCTACGCCAAGGAATACATGCAACAAGTTTCGGAGCTCATCAACAAGACCGACCGCAGGTACGGCTTTGAGTTCAGGAAGAGGACGTCCCCTCTGAGAGCGTCTGTTTAGAGTGTGTATCAGAACATTCGGTACTCTCTCTCGCCCGCTCACACTCTTCTGCCTCTCCGTCTACGAATATTAATGCATTTATTCCTTCTTGGATCTTCTGTAACACTGTCTCTCTCTCTCTACCTGTATAAATAAATGAATACACATTCAGGAATGGTCCTCTTTTTTAGATATTATGATGCACTCTTTCTCTTTGTTCTCCAGTCTTCTGAATAATTACATGATCTGGAATCTGGTGCAGAAAGGAGCGTCCAGTCTCGACCAGAGGTTTGAGAACGCTCAGGATAAGCTCCTGGAGAGCCTCTACGGCACTAAGAAGGTGTGTGTAGTTGGGGTGTGTATGGATGAATTAAAGAACTAGTTCACGCAAAAGTGTTAATTTGGTTGTCAGTTATTTTCTCGCCTCCATATTGTTCCAATCCCAAATGACATGTTTCATGGAATTCAAAAATGTGTGTTTTTTTTCCCTTCTTCTCCGTGTAATGGAAGTGAATGGGGAATGGGATTGTCAAGCATGGGACATGACATAAAAAGTCCTCACAAAAAAGGTCTATATGCCTTACAATATTACAGATCGCATGAAGTCATATGATAAGCTTTATGTGAAGAACAGATGACGATTTGAGTCATTATTGAACATAATCTCATTAAAATTTGCCCATATTCAAACTTGATGAGTCAAACATTCAGTGTGTTCTTCATGCTTAGCAATCATATGGATTCAGAACACTTGGACTACTTTTATTATACATTTATTGTATTTTTAGAGCTCAACAGCCACTCCCCATTCACTTACATGGATTAAAAAAACGGTAACACTTTACAATAAGGTTTCATTAGTTAACTTTAGTAAACAAATGTTGTTAACATGAACAAAGAATGAGCAATACTTCTGCATTTATTAATCTAAGATAATGTCAGTTTTAACATTTACTAATACATTATTATAATCAAAGTTGTATTTGTTAACTTTAGTTAATGCACTGTGAAATAACATGAACAAACAATGAACGAGTGTATTTTTATTAACTAACATTAACAAAGATGAATAAATACTGTAACAAATGTATTGCTCACTGTGAGTTCATTATGAAACCTTATTGTAAAGTGTTACCAAAAACAGTATTGAAATAAAATACGTATGCGATCAGTATGAGTGAAGAAAGATTATATAGTGATGCGTTGTTTAGTTGAAGCATGTTTTATATTGACGCAATGACATCGAAAATCTGGTCCCCATTTTGTGATTTTATGGCTGCTTGTTTGAGGTTTGCCAGATAAGTGCATGTGTGTAATTTGTCAACACGGGTGTTTTGTGTTCAGTCCTGTACCCCACGCTGGCAGACGTGTATCGGGAACACAGATGACACTCTTGGTTTTGCATTGGGTGCTCTTTTCGTCAAAGCCACCTTCGACAAACAGAGCAAAGAAATAGTGAGTAACTCAAAGCCATTTGTCATTGTAAGAGTAAAACCTACTGTATACGTATTTGACTGCAGGTTTATGTCCTCATGTTTCATTTAGAATCTCATTGGTGATGCATGTTTGCCGTCATGTGGCAGCAATGTAAATTTTTATAGCTCACAACCTCATCTTTTCTGTCAAAACGCAGGCGGAGGGAATGATCAACGAAATCCGCTCAGCTTTCAAAAACGCGCTAGATGATTTGAACTGGATGGATGAACAAACCCGACAAGCTGCCAAGGACAAGGTGAGGGTGAGAGAGAATGAGAACGACTGAGACGGCAGCATGACTGGATAACCGAAACTTGCGGATTTGTCTGGGATTCAGGACGCCAAAAACAGCTTAACTGTAAACACTTTGCATTGCTTGTCAAGAAATCAGGATAAAGTGTGTTTTCTGGCTCTAGGCGGATGCCATCTACGACATGATCGGATTTCCAGACTTCATTCTGGACTCCAAAGAGCTTGATGATGTGTATGATGGGGTGAGTCAGCAAATAGCTTTCGTTTACATTTTAAGATCCTAAAACTTCATTTCCAGGTTTAAATGATTCGCAATGCGTCTCAGATTTAGCGTTGTGTTGTGCTTCAATGTAACAAATATAGCTGTGAAATCATTCGTATTTTACATTCAATTAGTAATTGTGGATAAATAATACGTTTAATTTAATCTATTTGCACTACCATTCAAAAGCTCGAAGTACTTTTTTTTTTTTTTATGAATAATACTCAGCATTAAATTGATCAAAAATGTCAGTAAAACATTTACATTCCGACAAAAAAAAAGATATTTCAAACAAATTCGGTTCTTTTGAACTTTCTGTTCTTTGAACATCAGAGAATCCTTAAAAAATGTATCTGACAAAAACAATAATAATAAAAAAAAAAACAGGACAACTGTTTTCAGCATCCATGATAATCCGAAATCGTTCTTGAGCATCAGATCGTCATATTAGAATGATTTCTGAAGGATCATGTGACACTGAGTAATGATGCTGGAAATCACAAGAATAAATGACATTTTAAAATACACAGGTAGCCTACTTTAAATTGGACAACATTTTTCACAGTTCTTGTGTTTTTCTGAAAAATGATAAATGCAGCCTTGGCGAGAATCAGACATTCAAAAACAACAAAATCTCACCGACCCAAATCTTTTAAATCGTAGAGGGTTATATTATATTATATACTGATTTATTTAAGTACTTTATTTAATTTAATAATACTGAAAATATCCCAGCTAACAGGTAATGTGATGTTTTTGCTTGTAGTATGAGGTTACAGAAGACAACTTCTTCCAGAATATGATCAACTTCTATAACTTCTCAGCACGAGTGATGGCAGACCAGCTCCGCAAGCCACCGAACAGAGACCAGTGAGTTTAACAGTGTGTGATCAGAGAGAAGCGAGGCTTCCTGTAGGACGGTGGCTGGTTTGTGATTGTGCTTATCTTTGCATCTGTAGATGGAGTATGACTCCACCCACGGTGAACGCTTACTACATGCCGACCAAGAACGGCATCGTGTTCCCCGCTGGTATCTTACAGGCCCCGTTCTACGCCCACGACCACCCCAAGTGAGCAGACGTGGCTGAAATAGTTAGCATGTTGCTAAAAAAAAAAACCTCCTGAGTTTATAACAACTGTGATGTTTTGGTGTGTTTCACAGAGCTTTAAACTTTGGTGGTATTGGAGTGGTCATGGGACACGAGTTAACGCATGCATTTGATGATCAAGGTTAGTACACTGGGGGTCGTATCATATATATAATATACTGTATATTATATCATATATATCATATACTTTCCCTGATTGCCAAAAATATTAGTAGTAAAGATAAAAAAAAAAAAAAAAGTTCTCTCTGTCAATTAAACTGACATTTTTTTTGTGATTGTCCTTTTTGAAATAGTAGTTCACTTTAGCATACTTAAAGAAAAATTATTATGGAAATTATACTGTTGTGATGTCTGTCTGTGTTCCCCCTGTCTTTGTGCACTTGGTTCAGTCCTGTTCCCTGTTTTCCCGCTCCCCGTTATCTCTATTAGTCTTCCCAGGTGTTTCCCGTTAACCACGCCCCCTTGTTATCCTGTTTAGATCGTTTGCCCTTGTATTTAAGCCCTGTGTTTCAGTCCAGTCCTTGTGAGTTCTTGATGTTGTAACATGGATGTTGGTTGTTCTGTCCCTGAGTCCTATTTCATGCTGTGAGTTTGTAGTTTAGTTAATAAAGTGTGCTGCATTTGGATCCTGCTTTCTCCCTTGCTGCAACCACCTTCATGACAGAAGAACTCACCGAAATGAGTCCAGCAGCCACAAGCAACCAGGCCCTGAAGAAGTTCCTTTCCTCAATGTTCCAAGATAGCCAGGGCATTGAAAGGTATGTGAAGGATTTCTGGGCGTGCTGCCATTTAGCATCTTTGGATGATGCCCAGCTCATGGATCTGTTCCGGAGCGGGCTGGACGAGAAGATCGCTCAGATGATGCCGGAGGTCTATACCGGCTGGACGCTAAAAAGGTATATCAACCTGGCCCTTTTCCTGAGCGATTCTTCATTTACTGTGGCCGTGGAGGAGGAGCTCCGTGAGCCTGCAGTATTCCCTCAGCCTGTCCTTCTCGTTACGTCAGCCTTTAAGCTTGCCAACACGTCGTTCTATGGGCGTCCAGGACTGATGTCCACCATGGCACAGCCGCCGCTGATGTCAGTGCGGAGGGCCAAAGAGACCGTCCAGCCAGAGACCGTCCAGCCAGAGACCGTCCAGCCAGAGACCGTCCAGCCAGAGACCGTCCAGCCAGAGACCGTCCAGCCAGAGACCGTCCAGCCAGAGACCGTCCAGCCAGAGACCGTCCAGCCAGAGACCGTCCAGCCAGAGACCGTCCAGCCAGAGACCGTCCAGCCAGAGACCGTCCAGCCAGAGACCGTCCACGTCACGTCTGCCCAGCCAGAGACCGTCCACGTCACGTCTGCCCAGCCAGAGACCGTTCACGTCACGTCTGCCCAGCCAGAGACCGATTACGCCACGCATGCGCCGCCTGAGCCCTCAGTGACCGCAACACTGGCCATTATGGCCACAGCCATGTGGTGTGTGTGGGCTATGCACACACTTGAGCCGGTGTCCGCTGATCCTGCGCCAGAGCCCGCTGATCCTGCGCCGGTGTCTGTTCCTGCTGATGACCCCATGGCTGCCCCTAAGAAAATTTTGGGGGGGGGGCAGTAGGACCCTGGATGGGACTGTGAAGGCCGCACCGCCATGGCCGCCCGAAGGGTCTTCTCCGCCATGGCCGGCCGAAGGGTCCTCTCCACCATGGCCGCCCGAAGGGTCTTCACCGCCGTGGCCGCCTGAAGGGTCTTCACCGCCGTGGCCGCCCGAGGGGTCTTCACCACCGTGGCCGCCCGAGGGGTCTTCACCGCCGTGGCCGCCCGAAGGGTCTTCACCGCCGTGGCCGCCCGAGGGGTCTTCTCCGCCATGGCCGCCCGAAGGGTCTTCTCCGCCGTGGCCGCCTGAAGGGTCTTCTCCGCCGTGGCCGCCCGAAGGGTCTTCTCCGCCGTGGCCGCCCGAAGGGTCTTCTCCGCCGTGGCCGCCCGAAGGGTCTTCTCCGCCGTGGCCGCCTGAGGGGTCTTCTCCACCCTGGAAGCCTGAGGGTCCGACAGCTCCGCCCTGGATGCCCGAGGGTCCACAGCCTGCTCCGCCCTGGTCATGCCCACAGCCTGCTCCGCCGTTGCCTCGCCCTCAGCCTGCTCCGTCGTGGAAACGCCCTCAGCCTGCTCCGCCCTGGCAGTCTGTTCGTCCTGCTCCGCCCACGTTCCATGGCCCAGGTCCGCCCACGTTCCATGGCTCATGCCCGTCATTGCAAGGCCCTGGTCCCGTTCCCTGCGCGGACCTGGCCCTCCATCCCTCCCCCGGGACCGCCTCCGCTCCACCACCCTCCCGAACTGTCTTGTTTCCTGTTTTGTTGGGCGTCGGGAGCCGCCCATAGAGGGGGGGGCTATGTTGTGATGTCTGTCTGTGTTCCCCCTGTCTTTGTGCACTTGGTTCAGTCCTGTTCCCTGTTTTCCCGCTCCCCGTTATCTCTATTAGTCTTCCCAGGTGTTTCCCGTTAACCACGCCCCCTTGTTATCCTGTTTAGATCGTTTGCCCTTGTATTTAAGCCCTGTGTTTCAGTCCAGTCCTTGTGAGTTCTTGATGTTGTAACATGGATGTTGGTTGTTCTGTCCCTGAGTCCTATTTCATGCTGTGAGTTTGTATAGTTTGTAGTTTAGTTAATAAAGTGTGCTGCATTTGGATCCTGCTTCCTCCCTTGCTTCAACCACCTTCATGACATATACACTTTAAAAGAATATGCTTAAGTGTGAACTGAATGACACTTAGTTGCATTTTAATATCAATTTAATTAAATTTAATTTCGTAATTACTTCTATTGTCTTTGAAATGTAGTTAAATATATGTACTGACAAGCATTTATGGTAAATTAAAATATACTTTAATGTCATTTCTATTGAAACTTGTATGTCATATATCTTAAACTTTGTCATTACAAAGAGATTTAAATATATTAGCTTTAAATGTTAAATTGAATAACACATCAGTTAAAGTTGTAATTAAGTATTTTACATGTGATTTAGTATGTTAGTCAACACATCGAAATTAGTGAAGTTTAAAACATGACAAAACATTATTAAAACAAAGATTTGAAAATGCATTTTACAGTAAAACTTTTAATTTGACATTATTACAAAGTGGATTTTTTAAAAGTGTACTTAAGTGTGTTAAGAAACAGTCATGAAAGTAAACTCTCTTTAAGTCACTACCTTTTATCGCATCATATTTACAGAACGTTTTTGTGGCTTAATTTCAATTAAGTCTTTTTGAGCTCTTAAAGTTGCGATACATTTTTTATAGTGCATCAACAAAATTCAATATTTCATTATTTAAGCCTTTAATTGTATTACACAGGCAGAGAGTATGACAAAGACGGGAACCTTCGGCCGTGGTGGCAGAACTCCTCGGTGGAGGCGTTTAAGAACCGCACCGAGTGTATGGTGGACCAGTACACCCAGTACACCATCAATGGAGAGCACATTAATGGCAAACAGACGCTGGGAGAAAACATAGCAGACAACGGTGGTCTGAAAGCGGCCTATCACGTAGGTCACATTCAGTTTTGGGTGAAGTGCATTACTAAGCCAGTCATTACTGTCATTTAATTACAGTAAAGTAAGGCACTACTGTTATTTTTCTGTCATTTTATTACAGATTTCATTTAATTTAACATCGTCTAATGTTAAAATGTATGTTTAAAATGTAACCCTAACCCTTTAAAGGAACACTCCGACTTTTTGGGACTTTAGCCTATTCACCTTATCCCCCAGAGTTAGATAAGTCCATACATACCTTTTTCATCTCTGTGCGTGCTATAAGTCTGTTTGACGCACCCACCGCTAGCCTAGCTTAGCACAAAGACTGGACGTAAATGGTTGCAGCTAGCATACTAATCCAAATAAGTGACAAAATAACGCAAACATTTTCCTATTTATATGTGGTGATTTGTATAGTCACAGAGTGTACAAAAAACAAAGTCACATGAGACACAGACATATTTTAACCGTATAAATACTGGGAAATGTTTGCGTTATTTTGTCACTTATTTGGATTAGTATGCTAGCTGAAACCATTTACATCCAGTCTTTGTGCTAAGCTAGGCTAGCGGTGGGTGCGTCAAACAGACTTATAGCACGCACGGAGATGAAAAAGGTATGTATGGACTTATCTAACTCTGGGGGATAAGGTGAATAGGCTAAAGTCCCAAAAAGTCGGAGTGTTCCTTTAAATGCTTTGTGATTAGGAAAGTAATCCAATTGCACTGTTGAAGTGTAACTTACCTGACACTAGTTACATTTCTTTCTTTTTTTTTTGTAATTTTTTAGCTTTTTTGTCATTAAATGTGCATATATAACATAGAAATGTAAAATATTTGGAAGATTTTGTGGTTCCCGAGGCTCCCCCTTCTGGTGATGGGTATAAATCACTAGACATTTATTTTCCCCAAGCTAATGCAAATGTTGCAGTTAAATTGAACTAAGGCAAACGTCTGATTTTGAGATCTTTGTTTGGACAGGCGTACAGGTCATGGGTGAAGAAGAACGGTGAAGAGAAGAGACTCCCCGCTGTCAATCTGACAAACGACCAGCTCTTCTTCTTAGGTTTTGCACAGGTATGAAAAGACACACAAAAAGAGAAGCAAGTATGCAAAAATAATAACAAGTATGACGTGAAACACCTGTTCACTCAACTACTGTGTGACTGGTAAACATGCTGTGCCTCACCAATACAGGACAAATATTAAACTTATTTTACACGTCAGGCAGTGTAAGTAATGCATTTGCTGAATAAAATAACAATTCTTTCCTTTTTTTTAAATAATAAAGTAACACTTTAATTGCTTCTTGTTAATATATAAAAAAAATATATATAATAATAATACAATTAATATAAACGTATTATTATAGTATCTGAATCTGAATCTGAATCCATTTATTGTCACATCACTAACAACACATGTGCCGTAGCGAGTGAAATTCTTAAGAGCGTGCTCCAGACAGCGCAGAATACAATTAACATAAGACAATATACAATTACAATTAACATATATGAGCAATATACAGATGGCAATGTACAATATGCAGTATAGCTTAATATAAATAGTCACAGAAAAACATACTTTACAATAAGTTAGAATTACAAATATACAGATATACACAGTGCAGTATGATGCGCATGATTGGTATCTCGGTGATATGGATTATTATATATATACAATAGTAGTATATTTTAACCAAGATTAATAAACTACCAATGATTTGAATTTTAATCTTCTTACAGCACATCTTGGTAAATGTTAATATGTAATATTATTATAGCATAATATGGATTATATTGTAAATGATTTTTTTTTATGTTATGTTAATATATTAACATTATCTAACTTATAATATTCATTTATTACTGCATGTAGAAATTAATATTCCCTTGATAAATCTTAAACTGAATTTTTGTTAATGTTCATATATGTAACTATGGCGTTATATATTGTAATATATATATATATATATATATATATATATATATATATATATAACTTAACCTTATTTTAGGCACTATATGATGTTGTGACAGAAAAAGTAATGAATTTTCTTAATACAATTACAATTTAATGTTCTTTAATGATAAAATAAGACTTAAAGATTAATACATGATCAATAATTATATTTTGTAGAGCATTTCTTAATTAAATGTTAATATGTAATATTAACGGAATAACATGTAATATATTATGTAATATAAATAATTATATTATGTTAATATGTTAAGATTAGTACAACTTATATATGTTAATATATTATTAAATGTAGAAAATTATATATATATTATTAAATAATTAAAGAAATGTCTCGGTTAATCTTAATTCAATTAATTCTGGTTAGCCTTCAGATAAATGTATGATGTTATATATTATAACGGTAAAGTTTCATTTGTTAACATTAGTTAACTATGAACTAACAATGAAAAATACTTTTAAAACATTAACTAATCTTAGCCAATGTTAATATCAACATTAATAATAATTAAAAAGTTAGATCTGTTAGTATTATTAAATGGACCTGAGCTGACATGAACTAATAAACAGTTGGATTTTTATTAACAAACATAAACATAGGAGCAAATGTCTTCCTCATTGTTAGTTAAGTAATGCGTTATCCAACGGGACCTTATTGTAAAGTGTTACTATAATGTTAGTAGTATATTAATAATTAATATGTCCTTTAGATCATAAACAACCTAAAGTCTTACCAATAATTTGAATATAATACCTGTTAAATAAAGCACTTGATGTAAAGTATTGTGAAGTATATCACACTATGGCACGGCCTCTTCCACCTTACAGCAACACTAAAAGCAATACAAACCAGAACAGTGATTGTGAAAACATGTGGTCTCAGAAACGCGTTCCTTTGGCTCTTGTTCTCAGGTCTGGTGCTCCGTCCGAACGCCAGAAAGCGCTCACGAGGGCCTGATGACGGACCCTCACAGCCCACCCAAATACCGCGTCATCGGCACCCTGTCCAACTCGCCTGACTTCGCAGAGCACTTCCAGTGTCCGCTGGGCTCTCCCATGAACTCAGGCCACCGCTGTGAGGTGTGGTAGGACTGGCACACACAAAACACCAGCTTGCTTTCACAGACCAGCCTGGCCACGCTGAACGGACAGTTTGGGCTCTTTCTCAAGCACTGTTTTTTAATTTATGTGCTAAAGTTATTTGAGGAGTTGGGCCGAATGCGGGAGGAGGAGGAGGAGGCGAGCGCCTGCCAACGTAGATGTTCTCCAGTGTTCGAATCGACCAATTTTACATTTTCCTCTGCCGCCACATCAGCCCACGTGGGCTCGCTTTATTTATTTGTTTGCTGAACTCGATGGACATTAATGGGCCCCGTCCAACGCTTACATGTGTGATTCTGCGCCTCATACCCTGATCGCTTGTCTTCTGATTTGGAAGATGTGAGCACTGTGACGCCACTGGGAATATGTGTCTCCGTGACCTCGCAGGAAACGTTTGGCTCCATCTGTGATGACTTCACAGGAAGATTCACGTTCCCACGGTGACCTCACAGGAAGTGATGAACGACATCTGTGACCCCCACCCCCCACAGGAAAGGAAGGAAGCATATTTCCCAATTGTGATTTCATAGAAATGCTATCTAATGACAGGGAGAGCCACTGTGTGTTCATCCCACCTGTGTATCGTGTGTTTGATCTTGACAAAGTTGAAATGAAATGTTCATTTTAAACTGCTCTTTGCCAAAGAACAATTTCAGTGTTGTTCCTTGTGTAAGCGAAAGTGGAAATTTTGCACTGCTTCGACCTTCAGTAATCCCATTCCAGTGTAAATCCAGTGTGTTTGCCTAAAGACATTTACTTGTATGTGAACGCTGTGTTTCCGTGTCAGTGTGTCTGTGAAGGGACGTCTCCACGTTGTTTGAACTTTGTCAAGTCTGCTGAAATGCACACGTTACGTTCTCAAAACCACTAAAAGGGTGAATCTCACCAATGTCCGAGTCATATTTCACCCCCAAATCAAGAGATTATTAGGACTGTTTGCATTAAAAATGTATATTTTTAGAACCATTTCGAATTTTTCATGACAATCTTACACATTATTCCTCAAATTCCCTACAGTTCAGTAGATTATACTCCTTAAATAATGTTGCAGTAAACAAATACTGTAATACAATAATTTTTTTTGAAATCAACATAAATTAGAGGCTGTACAACAAATAAGAAAGTTATAAATTAAATAAAATTATATGTGTACAACACTAACGTTTAAAAGTTTGGGGTCAGTACATTTTAATTGAAAGAAATGAATACATTTATTTAGCAAGGATGCATTAAAGGGATCAGAAGTGACAGTAAAGACTTTTACATTGTTACAAAAACATTCTATTTCAAATAAATGATCTTCTTTTGACCTTTCTATTCATCAGAGAATCCTGAAAAAAAACCCGGATCAAGAATATTAAGCGGCACAACTGTTTTCAGCATTGATAATAATAAGAAATCAGCGTATTAGAATGATTTATGAAGGATAATGATGCTGAAAAATCAGCTTTGACATCACCGGAATAAATTAAATCTTTAAATATATTAAATAAGAAAACGGTTCTTATAAATTGTAATAATATTTCACAATACCACTGATTTTACTGTATTTTTAATTCAATTAAAGCAGTCTTGGTGAGCATTACAATAATGAGATTTGTGGGATAAACGTTTGAAAAATAATATCACAATGCAAGAAATCTTAATAACAGGCTTCATTTTCAATCAAGTTTAGTTGAAATAGGACATACTTCTTGACATGTGTCTAGAGATTCACCCATTTGCTAAACTTTCCAGCATGCCTAAAGTGTTTCAGAGAGTTGCATCAGACATCATTGTATGTGTAGAGTGATTAAACTACTCATTTCAGGTTGGATAGCTGCCGTGTCCAAACCCATCTACTGCGTTTTCAGTTGCTGTAAATTGACCCTGCGAGGACGTTTTAATCTGAATGTTTGTTCTGTTGAAGTGTTGATTGGCCAGTTTTTCTTTTGAACCTGGCTTTTGCTTTCCTGAAGCAGGCCGGTTGTGTCATTTGATGTATTTTGAATGCTGCTGACTTTACCTTTTGTTGGTTTTTGTTTATTTTAAACCACAGTTGAATTGCACCATTTTAAAAGCTGTAAGTGTGTTTGGCATCTTATACTGACAGCTGGCATATAAGCATCCACATTTCAACTCTATTTTCTACATAGCCAGAGGCTGAGAGCGCTACATTAGCTACGCCGAGATGAGGTTAACCGATGAACGCTACTGCCATTAAATTTGAAAATTCTAACTGTTAACAAGCACTGTAGATTATTGTGACACACTCATTTGGTAAAGTTATACAAGGTATAATTAACCCAAAAATTTAAATTCTGAATGCTTCACTCTATGCTTTCTCTGAATGGAAAAGAGCAGCATGAACATTTTTCAAAATATCTCCTTTTTTGTTTCATTGAAACATCAGGCAAATGATGGCAGAATTTCCATTTTTGGGTGAATTATTCCTTGAACTGTTTAGTCAGTCTTTCTTCATGTTGTCTATCAACACTCTTGGAAGTTTTAGTGCTTTGTTTTAAGTTTGATTGAATTATGTTACTGAACTCTTCCTGACTTTCGCCTTGTATAACACCATGAATATTTTTCCGTTCATGGGCTCCATGAGGATTATGGGGCAGATGTCAGTCTAAAGTTTTGCCATGGAGAGGCATTTGGTTTTGGCCTTAATTATTTACTGTAGACCTATGGAATACGATGTACATAGATAGACTTAAATATATTCCAATTTATGTTGAAAAAAAAAGGAAACTTGAAATGTTTCAAAGCCTTTAATAGTCAGTAAATGCCATTTATGTGTGTTATATGCCTGCTTTATTTGCAATTTCAGTCTCAAATACCAAAATGCCCATCGAGAATTTCCTTTTGCGAACTGAAAGACTGATTATCTTAATGTTTTTGCTGGATGAAAGCCATTTATTGAGCTTTGGCTTGAGTGTAATGGAGGTATCTATCAACTTCTGACACTCACACTTCACTTTCAGTGTTTCAAAGAAGTTAAACTTATAGAAATGATAGATGCGAATCGTTATTTTCCAGAATGTCATTAAATGTGCCACATACCGCATTCCGTTCAAAATTATGGGATGATACAGGGTGATATTATCCACCCACTCACCGTTAAAATACTGAAATTGTCAATCATCAGAAGATGCCTTATTTAATTTATAGAGTGTACATTCACCATTTAATCAACTGTTGTCACGTGTCTTGTGTACGGCTAGCATTGATATTTGAGAGGTTACATTGTCTTATAGTTGTATTTTTCTTTTCTTTTCTTTCTTTTTTTTTAATCAGACAACATTCCCTGAAATATTAGTTGAGAGGGGAATATGCTCTGCCCAGTGTGTAGTGCAACATTCAACCTAGAGAACTGTCAATGAACATGAAATAAAGGATATATATTATAAAAAAAGCTAAATTTTCACTTGGTTTTTCAAACTATTTACTTTGAACTATTTTTATGTAGGTAATGTAGTAATAAATATTGTTTTTATATTATTTATATTTTTATGTTTATGTCACATTTCCCCTGTTACCCGAGTGTTTAAAACAATCAGTTACCATAGTTAGCAATAACCCACACCTGATCCTCATCCCTCATCTTCACTCCTTTACAAGCACACACTGCATTCAGTCAGTGTTTGGCCTATAAGGATACAGAGTTCTTAGCTGCTCTACTCACCTGTGGATCTCATAAGAATTACCTTTGTGTTCCAGCGATCTCCAGCAGAGGCCAAGGAGTCTGCTCCAAGCTACTTTGTCTCAGGTGGCCGTACCAAGCTCCCTCTTCTTGGCCTAGGTGGGTGAACCAAGCTCCCTCTTCTTAGCCAAGGTGGCTGTACCAAGCTCCCTCTTCTTGGCCAAGATGGCTGTACCAAGCTCCCTCTTCTTAGCCAAGGTGGCTGTACCAAGCTCCCTCTTCTTGGCCAAGGTGGCCATACCAAGCTCCCTCTTCTTAGCCAAGGTGGCCGTACCAAGCTCCCTCTTCTTAGCCAAGGTGGCCGTACCAAGCTCCCTCTTCTTAGCCAAGGTGGCCGTACCAAGCTCCCTCTTCTTAGCCAAGGTGGCCATACCAAGCTCCCTCTTCTTAGCCAAGGTGGCCGTACCAAGCTCCCTCTTCTTAGCCAAGGTGGCCGTACCAAGCTCCCTCTTCTTAGCCAAGGTGGCTGTACCAAGCTCCCTCTTCTTAGCCAAGGTGGCTGTACCAAGCTCCCTCTTCTTAGCCAAGGTGGCCGTACCAAGCTCCCTCTTCTTAGCCAAGGTGGCCGTACCAAGCTCCCTCTTCTTAGCCAAGGTGGCTGTACCAAGCTCCCTCTTCTTAGCCAAGGTGGCTGTACCAAGCTCCCTCTTCTTAGCCAAGGTGGCCGTACCAAGCTCCCTCTTCTTGGCCAAGGTGGCTGTACCAAGCTCCCTCTTCTTAGCCAAGGTGGCTGTACCAAGCTCCCTCTTCTTAGCCAAGGTGGCCGTACCAAGCTCCCTCTTCTTAGCCAAGGTGGCTGTACCAAGCTCCAAACTCCCTCGTCTCAGCTTCCTAATCTCGGCCACAAAGGTCGTCCCATGCTCCCTTGCCTTAGCCAAGGTGGTAATTTATTTCCACCTCAATCCGACCAGAGGTAACATCTTTGGATTTCTCCAGTCCCCAGTTCATGCTCTGCTGGCTCGTCCCTGGCTCCCTGCCCTGCCGGACACTTCCTTCTCAATCGACATTCCAGAGATCATCAGTCACTCAGCCGGCATTCCTGAGACCTTTTCTCAGCTGGTCCTCCAGATATCAACCAACTGGTCCCTCAGAGGTCATTTCCACTATCAGCCTTCCAGAGTCCCTCCTCACAGCCGGTCTTCTAGAGTCTCTCCTTGCAGCTGGTCCTACAGATGCTTTACAGACGTTAGGGTTATGACTAACCCTCTCTGCCAGCTCTCAAGCTGCATCCCTTTCTGCCAACTCTCCAGAGGCTCCCAGCTCTGCCGGCTATCCAGACGTTGCCAGATCTCAAGAGGCGTGCCATTCTACCAGCTTTGCCGGTTATCCAGACGTTGCCAGCTCTCCAGAGG